CGATTGATCAAAAAAACAAGTTTACAGAGTCTCTCTGACTTTTCAAGATGCCGATGTTTGTTATCGAAATTTGTGAATTATTTTTTATGTAAAGTAAAGGCTGGATTTGCCGATTGATAAAAGGAAGAGCAACAAAGATTGACTTCGAAACTGTTCTTTAAAGCAAAAATAACCAAAAAAACAACTCAGAATTTATCAAATAAAATGAACTTTTTATTAAATATTTTTTCAATTTTTTGCAGAAATAAAAAACTCAAAAACACTAACCCGCGAGTGTACTTTTTTTCACACCCCCTTTCACTCCTTTATAATTTTTTTTCAATTTTTTAATCATCCATTAAACAAATACTCAACAGTCAAATCAATTACCTCTCGAGCAACATTGTTAATACACGGGCCAGCACATGTTTTTAATACATCACTTTTCAATGTCTCTCAGCAAAGACAGACTGCACCTTTATTTCACACCCCCTCTTGTTGGATTCCTCATTCGCTCAGAAATGCATTTCACTGCCAAACTGAAAAAACGCACTTTGGACTTACTCACCAACTGAACGTGAGTGCATCCATTCCCAGCGGTTTTTCAAGTGCCTGTCAAGCAAGCGATAAATGACTCGTTATTTCGTTGTACTTGCTTTTTTGAAACTTTTTATAAAATAAACGAAGCAATTTATTAATATTGGTCAATAAAAACAATGTAAGACGGATAATTTTGTGTAAATTATCAGAAGCGGTAAAAGGGCGCTGCACATGTCTGTTAGAATTTCTCGTGTTTTTAGCTTTTTTCACAAAAAGCCCAATTATTTGAGGCAAATTGAAACTTTGGTTATAATTGTGTGTAATTTTATCACTAAATGGTAGTGAAGCGGTTTTTCTCGCCAGCCAAAATGCTTGCTCAAAAGTGCATTTCAATAAAAATTGTTGAAAATATCATGGAGACAATGACTGTTATCAGCCCAATACGTTATTAAGAAGACATGGTGCCAAAGTGAAAGTTTATGTGTTGTTTATCTTAAATGTGTTTTTATACCTTTATCCACTAATTATAAAAAATGATATTCAACAACTTTCTTACTATTTGATGGACTATATTGTTCATTTTATTACAGTCAATATATGTAACATTTTGGGATTTCAGCACACACTTTTATAAAGAAGAAGAAAATAATTATAAACATTTATAAATTTATTATAATTTATACTATAACTTGTTTCAAAAATTGATTTAAATGGTGGGTGTGAAAAGTAATGAAAACGACTCTACACTTGTATAGTTCAAAAGAGATACACAACGACAACCACAGCTTCGATACGTTGTGTCAAATGGATCAATTGATGATTATTCTGTTCGGATTTGAGCATAAGTAAAATGATAATTATGGTTTTTATTATTATTTAATAGTAAATTTATTAATTTTATTAGTAAATTTTAGGTCCAGATATGGTTAAATTATAATAATAAATAGTTAATTTTTTATTTAATACAATTCCATTTTTATCTTTCGCAATGTCATTAATTATAATATAAATCATGGGTTGACAACATATTAAACATTTAAAAACAAAATTATTTTTCATTTGACAATATCCAAGCAAAATAATTACATAATGCACTAACTTTACTAATAATCAAAATATGTATAGTTGGTATTGTTTCATCGCAAACATGATCTAGAAAAAAATGTAAGTTCTTTTTTACCAATTATAAGGGTTTATAAGGAGATCTCCAAAAGCGACAATATCAAATTATCTCGTTTATTGCAAGATCAAACAGTATGTTTATTATGTTTAACAACACCAAAAGTACGACAGTGACGACTTAGACTTGAACTCATTTGTTTATGAAGACAAAATAAAGCACAAAAACAACAATGACAAAAAGACTTGACATAAATTACTCTGAAGATAAGGAAGATGATGATGAGGCAGACTGCAAAGATGATAATTTGGTTTGTTAATTCAAACGATATAAGATTAACAAACATTTACTACACTAATATATTATAATAAAATTTAATTAAAATTTTTGTATATTTGGTTATATTTCTTACAATTGTAAGCTGTTTCCTGTTTTCTTTCAAATAAATTCTGTAATAACTCAGCTTTTCATTGTAATATAAATAGACTTTAACAGCCTTCTTCTAAACACTTCGAAAAAATGCTCAGCAAAAGAAAATGATG